CCCCTAATTTCAAGACTCCTACTGTAGATACGCCACTGTCTACAACTTGGGGAGTAGGAGGCTTATAATTCAAAACATTCGTTGCTAGGGAGTCGAGAGGTAAACATCTGGAACCTCTGATGCATTTTATCTATGAGGCGTGGGGAATGGAGACTCAATGCTAAATTAACTAAGACTCTCAAGCCTGTTTTCTACTGGCAAATTTATTCGTGCGAATAGAAAACGTTGATTCATGCGCATTCCATTTACATTTATATTGAAGTTTTTGTGAAGCGAAAAAATATGCAACCAATCAGGGCTCAGGAAGCAAATCTACGCTTTGATTCACGCGCATAAATTCACCTAGTGGAAAACAGGTTTTGTGTGGCCTGGGAAATTACAAACACCTATGCCTATATAATTGTCTTGAATGATGTGTCTATAATATAATGGTCATATGTGATGTCATCATAACCTTATTTAGGCATATTGCATCTTTTTATCAAATAAAATTTGATACAGTGGTCTGGAGAGGGTTTCCAGAGAAAAATCCTACATCATTTAACAGGATTAAACCCGTAGCCTAAGATTAAAGGGCAGCTACGATTACGTCACCTGCTACTTAAATAGTTGCCGTCATCAAGAATATTATGAATTCTTCCGCTAAGCTCCGCCCCTTGGATATTTACAGTGTAAAAACATATCCAAACATGTGCATTGTGGGACAACCCGCATTCCCAGCCCTGCTGATTGGTCAGTTGTTAGGTTTGATTGACACTTAGGAAAGGTCTTTTGCTTACCTCTGGCATCCTTGTATTCTTCTTCTCTATGAAGTGTTTGAAAGACTTGGAGCCATGCAACGGCGCAAGCTGCTCGTCCATACTTAGACTCTTCTTCTTGGAATCCGACATCTCTTTATCCTTCAAGGCTTGTGGGTCTTCAAGTGGCTGTTAAAGATTAAGAAAAAGAGATTAAATTAAAAATATTAAATATGTTAGTAATAAATTCAATGTTCTATGATTTTTTTTCTAGTTCTAAAATGTATTGAAAAAGTAAAGATAGAAGAATAATCCATAACTTGAAGCATCATTGTGGTGAATTGTCTATGGGCATGGTCCTAGCGCCACATAATGCAAAACCTGTCTCTTATACACATCTAGATGTGTATAAGAGACAGGGGGAATAGAGACTCAATGCTAAATTAAGATTCTCAAGCCTCTTTTCTACTAGGCAAATTTATTCGTGCGAATCGAAAGCGTTGATTCATGCGCATTCGCATTCACATTTCTATTGGAGTTTTTGCGAAGCGAAAAAATACGCAACCAATCAGGGCTCAGGAAGCAAACCGACGCTTTGATTCGCGCGCATAAATTCACCTAGTGGTAAACAGGCTTTGTGTGGCCTGGGAAATAGCAAACACCTATGCCTATATAATTGTCATGAATGATGTGTCTATAATATAATGGTCATATGTGATGTCATCATAACAATATTTAGGCATATTGCATCTTTTTATCAAATAAAATTTGATACAGTGGTCTGGAGAGGGTTTACAGAGAAAAATCCTGACATTATTTAACAGGATTAAACCCGTAGCCTAAGATTATAGGGTAGGTGCGATTATGTCACCTGCTACTTCAATAGTTGCCGTCATCCTCAAGAATATTATGGATTCTTCCGCTAAGCTACGCCCCTTGGATATTTACAGTGTAAAAACATATCCAAACATGTGCATTTGTGGGACAACCCGCATTCCCAGCCCTGCTGATTGGTCAGTTGTTAGGTTTGATTGACACTTAGGAAAGGTCTTTTGCTTACCTCTGGCATCCTTGTATTCTTCTTCTCTATGAAGTGTTTGAAAGACTTGGAGCCATGCAACGGCGCAAGCTGCTCGTCCATACTTAGACTCTTCTTCTTGGAATCCGACATCTCTTTATCCTTCAAGGCTTGTGGGTCTTCAAGTGGCTGTTAAAGATTAAGAAAAAGAGATTAAATTAAAAATATTAAATATGTTAGTAATGAATTCAATGTTCTATGATTTTTTTTCTAGTTCTAAAATGTATTGAAAAAGTAAAGATAGAAGAATAATCCATAACTTGAAGCATCATTGTGGTGAATTGTCTATGGGCATGGTCCTAGTCACCGCAAAGAGGCGGTACCTGTTTACATAATTTTTTATCTTCTAGATAGTGTGATTAACTTTTTTACATGTAACAGTAAACACAGACCTGTTGTTTGTTATTCATTTGTTTATTATTAGCGTTGATGATTTTTTAAAAATACAATAGGTTTGATGGACTCACCTCACTGGCTCCTCTTCTTTTCCAGTCTTTGGGATCTAAATACCAGGCACCATATTTCATTTTGACCCAGCTGGGACTGTAGCCAGTTTGACCATACTGTAAGAAAATGTCCATCAAAAAATTAGGAAACTATGTATAATTTTACAGTAATTTGTACATAGTTATACAATTTAGTAAAGAAAATAGTTCTCCAACACTAGATTTATTTTCCAGCCACATATCAATGATTTTGGATACTATTTATTATTATTATTTTTATGTTGTTTTCTATAGAATAAAATATTAATTTGTACTTGAATTGTTGAATTGAGCACCTACCAATTTCTTTTGAGTTTTTTCAACATCTTCTAATGTTTGTGTTAGTGTTTCTTCCTGAGATATCGTTGCTGTCATTCGAAGCTCGGGTGGAACATTTGTTAACTCCACAACATGTATAGGAACTGAGAGGGCAGGCTTCGTTTCATACCCACTGGCAAACAGGCTATGAATTGTAGATTCTTCAATATTGTGGCTCTCACCTCCAACCCCAGCCACCCATTCACAGAACTCCTTCGTAACGACTTTGATGTGCTCACCCTGGCCTGGGGATTCACTGCGTTTCTTTGTATTCTTCCTATCGTCCTTTTGCTCATCTTCTTTCTTAGGGAGCCAACGATATGGATTCCTTGGGGGAGGTGATTCTTCTTCGTCTATCCTACAAGATAATAATAATGATATAATGAATTTATTATCTTACTGAAAGTTTGTAGCTTGTTGGTCAAGAGTCCAAGGGTCCTGTGCCACCACAAACAATTTGTGCATGTGACCACACAAAAGTTTTTTTTAGGCATACAATTAAACTTGCCTAAAGTCAACTTTGCGTAAGTCCAATAATTTCTAAGTTGATTTTATTTTACATGCCAAATTGTTGTGTTTTCCATCATTTAACAATCCGTAAGTCAAATTTTACCTAAATTGAACAATATTTCAATGGCATTTTGGATTTGACTTAGGCAAGTTCAACTGTACAATCATTACCTATAATGACCATTCAAGCACCAAAGAAAAGGAATTTACAGAGACGCTGCCCCTAAGAAATTGTACACTTTTTTTGCACACCTAGTTAACCTTCAGATGTGAAGCCACACCAGTGGCAAATCTAGGAATTTAAAAGAGGGAACCATGGAGGGACCTACACAAGTAGAGGATCCAGACCACACCCTCAGCTCCTTCATGGTTTGGACTAAGGTACAAAAGCTTATGACTGGGGCACCACTAGATGGCTGGAAATGGCATTCTCAGACTTAAATTTGAAAGTTATTTTTTTTCCCCTTTACTTTGATTTAAAAAAATTATAAATTTGGTGGGGGTGGGGGCAGGCAGGGCAAGAGGGCCCTTCTTGAATCTGCCGTTACACACCTAGACCCAGTGGCAACTAAATGCTAAGTTTACATAATCACTTACTTTGATGTGATGCTTGACTGCCCTGCATTCTTCTGAGATCCTAATAAACTTTCTGTCATTTCCTCATCAAACTGATCTTCATCTTCATCAATCTCACTTGATAGATTCATCTCTGGGTCCAATACATCCATTACATCTTCAAAAACCTTCGAACGATATTAAACGACTTGCATTAGTAAAAATACAATGAAACCTAGCCATAGTAAAGAGAAATTATTAAAATAAAGAAAGCAAAAAAATAAAGAAGTTTTCTCTATTGTGGCCTCTTATGTTGAATTTCCCACATCTATTGGTGGGTGATAAGAGACCATCTATGTTGCCTTGAAGTCTATCTTATGCTTGTAATATGCACTTTGTATTTATATCATTTTTCCCATCTTTTAATTTCCATAATTTAATTCATTTGTTGCTTTATTTTTTTTTGTAAAAATGGAAAATAGCTCCCATTGAACGTGATGTGTAACAAACTCACATCTGGTGGCATAGATTCTTCGAGGTGTGGGAACAAAGCTAAGGGGTGCTGTAAAAGTCCATACTCCATCTCATTAATATGATCCCTTCGCTGCTGTTGTAAAGGCGTGGTTTTTTGAAAAGCTATTTCTTCTTTGGTAAAGCGACCCCTATTGACAGATTGCACTTTTGGAAATTTGGTTTCACTATCACCACAAATGTTTGGCTCCAGAGTTTTCGACCCCTGAAAGTAAAATAACAGGCACTAATGTGAATAAAAATTTATCGACCAATCAATAATTTATACACCTGAGTAAATTAACGTTACTTCAAGTGATTTTGTACAGAGTAGAAATGATTTTTATTGATTGCAGTATATTATTACACATTATGGCATTAATGATGCTAAATTCAAGCTGAAATATAATTGAAATACTCTAGTGATTATTGTATTTATTCATACAGGTCTCCATCTAATAATAGACCACCTCCAATTAAAGATCACTTTTCTATTATAGTCTGAAATTAACATATGTTTTTCATCTTTATTATTTCTTTACTCTTTTAATGTTTGATTAAATTAGAGATCAAAGCTGACAAAAAAACATGCAAACCCTGGCCCCAAAAGTGGTCTTTTACTGAAGGGAGACCTTAGCATTTCTAAGCGCATTACTTTAACTATTGGATTTTCCTTCAGCCTTGGAGGTAGACCATCTCGGAAATCATCCAAACCACTTTGCAAGAAAGTCCACTTGGATCCCACGACAGTCTTTGATATATCATTTGGCTTCTTGGATTTGATGAATCTTGTTTTCAATCTTTCTTTATACCTATAAAGAGATTACTATTACTAACATTGAACAACAATCAATTGGCAATTTAATGAGTCAATTTTTTTATTATTATATTTCATTACAATACTGTAATAATAGTAGTACAAACAATATTTAGTAGTTTAAATAACAGTCGTGAAAAAAGGGTAATCTCGGACTACATCTTCTTCTTCCTGACCTTCTCTAGTCGGAGACTAGGCCTAACTTGGACAAGCGGACTGACCTAGCCTAGGGCCTACATAATTACTTAACATAGGCCTCCTATCTCTCCCTCTAGCCTAGGCCTAGTCTAGACTAGGACTAGGCCCTATTTATAATAACTAGGCCTAGGCCTACTCTAGCATATAAGCTTTTCACCACCAAAGAATTTCATCAGTCTACTCACCATGGCTGATCTCTTATCTTTTTATCTGATACAGTATTTACAAGAGCTAAGTCATACTTCCATTCCGCCATCTTTATATAGAGGCGCCTATTATTAAATTTTCATAACAAAAACAACTCCCTACACATTTTCCAAGTAAATTTTAAGGACGAAGGCCTCGGCCTTTTGTGTGTGCACATTGTTTTGTTTATTTTTTCGTCATGGAAACAGACACACGAGGGCGGAATCTATATCCAAAAAGCGCCCCCAACGGTGTCGCTGAAATAGAAATTGTTCCAAAGCAAAAAAGTGGGGAAGTAGGTAAGTTGTCTTTTTGAATAGATTCTAAGAATAGACTAGGCCCTAGGCCTTGAAGACGTGATGTATTAAAAGTGTAGGTGTACATTAAAATGTAGAATCCAATTTTATTAATCTAGATGGTTATAACGATTAATATCTGTAAGTAGGCTGGTCCTAGCCTCTAGACTAGGCTCAGAGGCTGGGCCACCACCAGTGCAGCGAGCGAGGCGAGGTAAGCCTAGGCCCCCTTCTCCTCCTCTTAGGCCTATCCGACGGCCTATCCGTCGGTTGATCGAGAGTACCCCATCATCCTAAACCTAGGCTAGCCTACTTCGTTTAGTTCAGCCGGCAGCAGTGTCAGGGTGAACTTATTTAGCCTCCTCCACTTAACGTATAATGCCATGGATATTTATTTGGAAATAAATGAAAACTGAAACTGTATAACTATAGGCCTAGGCCTATACTGTATGTATCTAGAAGTACAGACAATATTGAAAATAGGGTTGTATTTAGTTTTAGGAAGTGGATATATTTATGTCACCGTAAACAAATCAGGGAACGATATACATTATTTACTTGAAATAGTTAGTCATATTTTAATAAACTAGCATTTATTGGTCACGTTAATTTATCGCTTCTGATTAAATGTACGTTGGCCTAAGTTTTTGGTAGGCAATCCATGGTAGCTGTACGCATATCAAATCCTCCAATCATGTAAGTGTTTATATTCATGTTAAATTACATTAACTTGACCAAACATTTTTTTGTACAAACAAAGGAGTTTTTGCTCTTAAAGAAGCCAATATTCAACAACACACGATTGAGTCGACGGCAAAGCAACTCACCTGGGGAATCCCTGAATTGGTTGTATGAATTTTTGTAAACAGTTTACAACAGTTTACAGTATTCCACATACTATTTGCATCCATGTAGACACATGCACAGCATGTTATTTCATTCAAATTACTATAACTGCCAATGTTGTTTTTGTTAGTGTTCAAATAAAACATTAAAAATATTTGTTTTGTCATACTTCATTTGTAAAGATTAAATATCTTACAGAAAATACACGCATATTCTTTACTCTTGCTGCATAGCATACAGTAGTTCGTAGAGTTTGGATCACATGCTCATCTTTCTCGGTTGTTCTTCTTGCTCGATTTGGGCCCAACAATTGACCCGACTAACGGATGTTAACGATTTTGTTTTTGTTAGTGACGACATCGGTAAATGTGTTTGAATGAAAACATTAAATATTATTTACTTTGTGATGATTGACTATCGTATAAAAATAAGGCTTAGGCCTAGGAGAAAATCATTTTTATTTTGAGGTACAGTAATTGAGTGCTAGTTTTAGCAGGGAATTTTCATGTTTTGGCGTAGGCCTAATATTGTACTTTATTTAATGATTTAACTACATACATTATAGGAAATTAAATAACGTAAAAAAAAATACAAAATTATAATGAAATCAGTACTGTTGTAAGCTTGGACAATTTTGATCGAGTGAATGATGTAAGTTAAACTATAACTGCGCATGCGTTATTTATTTCACATAGATATATCGTTTCCTGATTTGTTTACAGCGATGTAAATATATCTACTTCCTTAGTTTTACTCAATCAAATCTAATCAGTGTACATGAATGAAAGTTAAATTTTTCTATACTTAGATTTCTTTTTCTACATTGTAGAGTGTGTTTGGAAGATAAATATGACATTCTGACCTGATCTGACTCAATGTCACAGAACCTGATGCAGTTTCTTATGTTTTAATCGTCACTACTGATTGTAGTAATAAGTATTGCACACCAAGGAATCTAAAACTCCACAGACATGACGGTGAGTACTTCGCGATCAAATGATTATGTTTTTATTTTCATACAACTAATTTTACAGGTCTTTATAAATATTTAGTATTCATAGCCAAATGATAGGCCTATCTACCACTTATGTGAGGCTTGTTGTATAAATCACACTTTATATACATTACCAAGCATTTAAATACAACAATTTATTAAAAGAGATGTTAGATCTTTGATGTACACATTAAAGTGAGATTGTCATGTATCTCATAGTAAACATTTTTTCATTTTCATTTTCTCCAGAACAAAGATTCTGATACAGTGCAGGTGGTTGTACGCTGCCGTCCACTTAACGAGAAAGAAAAGTCCAAAGGTTTCAAAATGGCGGTGAAGGTAGATGAGACTATGGGCCAAATCCGAGTGACAAACCCCAACGCCCCTAGTGGAGAACCACCAAAGACATTCACCTTTGACACAGTGTTTGCCCCTGCGTCAAAACAGGTGGACGTTTACAATCAAACAGCAAGGCGAATTGTTAACGCTGTACTTGAAGGGTATAATGGTAAAGGAAATTTAAATACATTGCAAGAAATTCTTGGGGAAAGTTGCACATATATAAACCAACTGACCAAGGATCGTAAGAGCTTAAATTTAGGGACATACAAAACAGATTTAACTATCTAGCAAAAAAATATTGCTATACACTATGTATTGTGGATTTTTTTAAATATTGTTATTAATGTTTTAAAAAATTACCATCTGAATTTTTTTTTATAATAATAATAATACTGCTTTAAATTTTTTGAAATTTGTGTCTGTTTATGCCCATATATAGTCATAATACTGTTTTCTTGTATAGGAACTATTTTTGCATATGGTCAGACAGGAACTGGGAAGACATTCACCATGGAAGGTGTGCGGTCCCAGCCAGAGCTCCGAGGAATCATTCCCAATTCTTTTGCACACATCTTCGGACATATTGCAAAGGCAGAGGAGAAAACACGATTTCTAGTCCGAGTTTCATATCTAGAAATCTACAACGAAGAGATTCGAGATTTGCTGAGTAAAAATCAATCACAAAAACTTGAAGTATGTATACTGTTGATTCTCTTAATTATTTAATAATTACAATATGTAATAAGGATATATGATATGTTTTATAATAACATTAGCAATAGTACCAATAACTGTAATAATTTTTTATTATATTTATTATATTATAACAAATACAATTATATATTCAAATCAAATATACTTTTATTTCCATACAAATGAAATAATAAAAAGTTGCAAAATAAAATAATGTAATTGAAAATATATTGTATGGAAGGAGGCTACAATAAGTTATGCAAGAAAAACCCTCAGAGCTTTAGGATGTAGCCACCTTTTACAAAGAAGTTGAAAAAGCACATTCAAACAGTATAGGTGCCGGAATATCTGTGTTGGAAAAATGTTTTTTTATGTGATGGAAATTAAGTCCAAGTTATTAATTGTCCTCCCATATTAGTGATGTATCCTTTTTTTGCACTTTTACTTCAGGTTAAAGAAAGACCCGATGTTGGTGTCTACGTAAAGGACTTGTCCGCATTTGTTGTAAACAACGCAGATGACATGGATAGAATTAATACTATTGGCAACAAAAATCGTTAGTTTATGTGCATTTATATTCAATATTTTATTATCTGAAGTGGAGATGTGGCTTGGTAATTTACGATGCTTGCCTTCCAGTGCCAGGGTCCTGGGTTCAAATCCTGCAAAAACACTTTTCCCATCCCTAAGCCTCATAATGAGACTTTACTGATAGAAGAATCACATTATTTCATTTAAGATGGTCCCTGAATATCAGCCGACCCTCTAGGATAAGCTGGAAGGGCCACCCCCTATAAATATGGTTTAAAAAAAGATATTCTGTCATAACATAAAACAAAAAATAACAATCATAAAAGGTCATTGTAGTCCGAATTCAATTTTCTACCTTTTGGCATAAACTCATTTAAACATCTCGTTCAAATACAATATTTTTAAATTTATATTTTTCTTAAAGATATGCTTTATAATTTGGTACATCTTGATATTATGTGGCATAGCATGAAATATTTTTATATATCTTTTTATTCTAAATTTAAATACTTTTGTAGTAAAAAAGTAATTAAGAACACTGTTTACAAAATGAGCAATGTATGTAAATATTTGCTTCATAATTATATACAGTAACCGAAAACCTTACTCCATTTTTCCTTTGAGCCCTATTTTTTTGTACCTCATCCTGTCAATTTAGGTTAGGGAAAAAATATGTTTGTGCCTCCGACCATAAAAATTGTCTTGGTAAATAGTGCCACCAAATGATGTGTGTACACTACAGCCCAACAATTTAAAAAAATTTGTTTTCCCAAAAATGCCACTTGGAAATTCATAATGCCTCCAACCACACATCGCATGGTCGCACACTTTTCCTGGCCTTCGGAGCACCGAAACCAAGTTTTTTTTTTGTGTTGCTATCATTACAGGATCGGTTGGAGCTACAAATATGAACGAACAGAGTTCACGGTCCCATGCCATTTTCACCATAACGGTAGAAAGAAGTGACGAAGGCCTTGATAAAGAGCAGCATGTCAGGGTTGGGAAATTGAACTTAGTGGATTTAGCAGTAAGTTAAAATTTATTTATGTTTTTTTGTGAGCATAGACAGTGCCAGCCAGTTGGCTACAGTGTTCTCCCGAAGCCGTCTTAGCCGTCAATTTTACCGGTAAAAATAACCAACCAACCAGTAAAAATTTTGAGTTTGTAAAATAAAAAAAACTATTGATTAGGCTGAGGTAGTCCAGGCTGGCCCTCTTAATAAATTAACATCATTCCAGTCTATATCTACACTATGAATATGTGTTGTTGTGTCTACAAGTCATTTAACCCAACTAAAAAGGGGTAACGTACCTCACATTGTGCGCATTGCAATTTTTATGGACAAATTTACCAGTAAAAATTTTTCAGTTGGGAGAACACTGGGCTAGATGGGCTAAACCCAGCCTTCAGAAATTCTAAACCTGTCAGAGAATATTTAAGTAGAATCATTTTAAGCAAGAGATAGCTGGCATGAGAGTGCCATTTTCAGGCATCTAAAGCCAAGGTGAAATATCCTAAGTTTTTTATTTTAGCCACACCATATTGTGGAGTGGCCCATTTGTCAGGGAATGATAGACTACCTATCCGGGAAATGCTGACGCCATCATTTTTACTTTTGATAAAAGTAAAACATCCTGAAATTGTAAACCCTGTGATTGGTTTTGACACATCTTGAAACCGATCAAGTTGCACCAACCTCAACTACCACATGAACACAGACCATGACCTTTTTTAATTCTGTCTTGGTTTCAGGGCTCTGAACGGCAGACAAAGACCGGTGCATCGGGGCAGAGATTGGTGGAGGCAACTAAAATCAACTTGTCACTTTCAACATTGGGAAATGTGATCTCATCATTGGTTGACGGTAAAAGCACCCATATACCATACAGGAACTCAAAACTTACTAGGCTTCTGCAGGACTCACTTGGAGGCAATGCCAAAACTGTTATGGTATGTCATTAAATAGATGTTGATAATTTAAAAAATAATTATTTATTTATTAACATCTTTAACCAGGATGACACAATCCTTTACAGAAAAAAAAAAGTCAATGGTCCTTCCCTTTTCTCTTCCTTTCCCCTTTGATTCCCTTTTTTTTTTTTCTTAAACAAACAAAGACAACAGATGTGCACCTCCGATTTTTAAGGCTTAATATTAAATGACGTGAACACAAAATGCTGGTGTTTGGCAGCTTTCGGTCTTTGTTTAGAAAAATATATTACAGGTCTCCCTCATAAAGGACCACTTTAAGGACACAACACAACACACACACAATCATTTTTCCCCTTATTCATCCCCTTTCACTTTCTTTCCCCTTTTTAGTTTCTTTTCCCTTCTTTTCCCTTTTTTCCTTTTCAAAACATGTGTTCATACACATGTTGAATTTTTTTCAGGAAGCTGAGTATGCATTCTATAGGTATTTGATCCAATGACCTCTTAGTTGACCCAATTATTATTTGTTTCTGGTTATAATGTGCAGTACTAATTTTTATTTTGTTGAATTTTTTTTTTTTTTTTTTTCCAAACTTATCCTAAATCTAGTGTGCAAATCTTGGTCCTGCTGAGTATAATTATGATGAGACAATAAGCACCCTGAGGTATGCTAACCGAGCAAAAAATATTAAAAATAAGGCGAAGATTAACGAAGACCCAAAGGACGCCCTCCTAAGACAATTTCAAAAGGAGATAGAAGACCTGAAGAAGAAACTAGTAGATGGTGAGTTATTCAATTTTGTTGGAGGGTATTGCACTTACATGATGTTATTTATCATATCATATATCATTTATTTTACCATTTCAAATTTTTAACAAAAACAAACATCAATATGTGGTAAGATTGCTCGAAAAAGAGCAATGCCCATCTGTCTGAGAGCTCCCCAGTAGCGACTGGAGAAACATAAATATTTATCTGAAAATAAATGCACAAATAAAACTATATATAAAAATATTATTTTGACAATTAAAAACATTATTATTATTATAATCATTTTTTTATTATGCTGTTTGTTGATGACAGGTGGTGTATTAAATTTATTATTATTATGATAACTTATAGTAAGTTTGATTCATTTCAAACTTTGCAGAATGCAGGATGATTTTTTTTTTTTTTTATTCATAGAGGGTGAGCCTTCTAGCTAAGCCCAGAATTTCATTTAATGTATTTAGGAACCCTCGTGAGTATACTGAATAATGGGATAATTTAAGTGTTATTAATGTAATATGGTTGGAGATTTATATAGCACTTTATACCAAAGTCTCAAAGCACTTGAGGTGTTGACTATCCTGCACAGTAACTTTATTCTCACTTGAGGGTCTCCTTGTGTCTAAGCTACCTTGTAAACCTGTAGCAGCTATCTCTCATCTGTCCACAACGGGGGAAGTATGAACCAGTACACCTGTGTAACCCCCTACTTGTCTCAAAAGATGTACTGGGTTTTTTATAGTGCACACAAGCCGTTGTGTACACTGGGCCTACAGTTTATAATCCTTATCCAAGAAGACTTATTCCACCTCCAGAACCATAGGTGAGCGTGCCGTTCGAACCAGCGCCAGTATTATAGCTGTATGCTGCAGCGCCCCTGCCTTAATCACTCGGCCATCCAACAAAGCTTAAGTAACAGAACTGTTTTTTTTATTGTCAAGTAAAATCCCCAATCTCTCACAATGCAAACATTGAATTTAAATAATTATTGTGTCAGGTGGTGGTGAAGGGGACAGTGGCAGCGGCAGTGAATATTCAGACTCTGGCGAATCTGAAGAGGAAGAAGTGATGGGACCAGATGGAACCATGACAACAAGAAAAAAGAAAACTAAAGGTATCTTTTCAATCTAATTCTTTATTCTTTCATTTAATAAAGAATTCAAAATTTAAAAAAAATAAATCTCTTCAAACTTGATTTTTTCATGCAGTGGTCCCCCTTCTCCCAAAGCCTGTCACCCCTTGTCCCATCCTTGTAATTGAAATTTGCTGGGGAAAAAAAATTTCATAATTTGATAGCTAAATTCCCCTTACTTAATAACCAACAAGTCCCTCCTTCAGTGTAATGCCATGTCTTTGTCAATAATCCTTTTATGGAAGAAGAATTTTAATATATGGATGTTGGTTGTGATAACACTTTATTCTACTTTTTCTGATTTTGTTAATACAACAACAAAGCACTCTGCATTTTGCAGTCAAACATATAACTTATATGTTGTTTTGTATAAAACAAAATTGGGTTTTTTTTTTAAGCCAAGAAGAAATTATCACCTGAAAAAATGGCCGAGATGCAGAGAATAATAGATGAGGAGCGACGAGCTTTGGAAAGTCAGAAAGACATGGAGGAAGAAGAGAGGAATAAAGCCCAAGAGTTACTAGAGAAGCGAGAGAATGATTTGAAAAAGGCACAGTAAGTTGTTGTATTTCACATGCTTATGTAAGTTGCATCTACACTATTTGCTTTGGTCCACACGAATTTGTCTATGAGGTGTTGATACAAATGACACCAGGTCCATATAAGGAAACATGTTTGGAGTCATGTTTTTAATAACATAGCGTTTGAGAGTTTCTGGTAAGTTTATTTATATTAGAAATTTTTTTGAATGTCTTTATTACCAGACAAGACCATGACCAGCTTGCAGAAAAGCTACAGGCTATCGAGAAAAAGTTGATAGTTGGCGGCGTCGACCTGCGGGAGAAGATGGAGGAGCAGGAGCGACTCCTAGAAGAATCAGCAAAAGAGCTGGACACCAAACGAGCTAAAGAAGAGGAACTGAGGAAGAAAATTGAAGAGAAAGAAGAAGAACGATTACAAATGGAAGAAGAATATACAAATTTACAGGAAGAAGCTGCTGGTAAAACAAAGAAACTGAAAAAGGTCTGGTCAATGCTGATGAGTGCAAAGTCTGAGGTATGTTGTCTTTTTTGACTCCACGTGTGTTGGCAAAGTACATTGACATATAGAAATCAGGACAAGTGAGACGGTCAGCAATAATTTGTTTAAACCAATAGGCCTGATTCTAAGGTTGATTAAATTGCTATCACTCACGCACATACATTTTGGTTTGCAAAATTGTAATTACAAGGCTAAAATCCATGTACACGTTTTAAAGTTTATTAATTAAAGCTTGAAAAGAAACCTTTTTTGGGCTCCATCTTGGAAATTAAAATTATTAATTTTTATCAATAAATTGATAGATAAATGACATTCAATCTTGTGCAACGCAAAGTCTTTAATAAGGCATGGTGATGAATCTTAATGATATACAGCCTGTGTTGTTGCTCATAAACCATAATATTTAAATTGACTAAAATACAGTTACAAGGAAATAATTGTGTATAGAATAACCAATCATATTGCAGAGATTTGAATCTCTGCAATATGATTTGTTATTCACTAAATGGACTAATTTGTATTTCAGCTTTCAGTTGAAACTTAAAGTGAGAATTTTTTTTTTTGCCCATACAGATGTGTTAAGATTATGATCCTATATTCTATTTATAGACCCTTAAAATACTAAATTAACTTGACTCATGTTTGTTCCGTCGCAGGTTGATGACTTACAACAGGAACACCAGCGTGAGATGGAAGGCCTACTGGAGAATGTGCGCCAACTGAGCCGTGAGGTCCGCCTACAAATGCTCCTCATCGACAGCTTTATTCCACCAGATTTCCAAGACATGATTGAACAGTATGTCCATTGGAATGAAGACATAGGAGAATGGCAATTGGTAGGAAGAACTTTATATATGGCTTACTTATTCGAATAAGCACCCCCCCCCCCTTTGAATAAATGCCCAGTCAAATTACAGTAAATAAATTAATGTTCTACCCCTGTAGAATTGCATTTTTCTAACCTAGTTGGAATCAATAAGTCATCGTGATCATGCAATAACACATTTACCCGGTAATTATGTGTTGTTTCATATTTAGAGTGAGGGGCGCTGTATATAATTATTTTACACCAAAATAAAATTAATGCCTCCCCTGAATAAACACTACCTCAAAACCCTTTTCTACAATAAACACCCTTGGGCCTTTATTCGAATAAATATGGTACTTTTATTAGAAAATACAGTATGTTATATTATAGCCTAAAATTTTTTTTCAGAAATGTGTTGCTTATACGGGCAACAACATGAGAAAACAGACTCCAATGCCAGATCGAGAGAAGCAGAAGGATTATGGAGATGTTGACCTCTCACATGTTTATCTAGCTTATACTGAAGATGGCGTACGACAGAAATTTAAATCATCTAAATCCAAGTCTGGGAGACCCAAGACTGCTTCCGGTCGGCCAAAGACTGGAAAAAAGTAAGTGTAACTGAATTTTACATTTTAGTTTGGTATTGCTACTTAGCTTTTAAAACAAAAATCCTTCAATTAGTTACCAGCTAATTTTAGGCTCTGTTTTAAGAATAGGAAAGGAATTTTATATGCATTGCTGCATCTAGTACTTTACATGTGGGTTTTGGCATAAACTTGTTGTTTTTCTATGTAGGAAAAAGGGTGTTGGAAGCTCGGCAGATATTGATTCAGTTTTACAATGAAGACAGGAAATAGAGATAAAACCAACACTGGGGGAGCTTCAGCTGAGTTTACTCCTTGCTGCTGTTTTAGATGTGGGGCGGGGGGTGTGGATCCAGGGGGCACGGAAGCTACGAACCCCCAACAAAAAAGGAAATGGACAAAAAATGTGGGAGCACACAAACAAGCTAATTTTCAATTTATATTCGATGTACCAGTCTGCATTCAAGTATTTCTAAACAAAAATGTCAGGCACCACCATCACCCCTAGGCCCAATGATTGATACGTCGCATGGCTCCTAACTAGATTTTTTTATGGATTCGCCCATTTTTTATAGATCCAATTTTTTGAACCAATTTAAGGCAAATAAATGGCTCACTGGTCAAAAATAATTTAAATTAATTATATTTTTTTATTTCATTTTTTTTTTACATTCCACCGCATTTTACACTAGACAAATACAGGGTTCAATGAAACTCTATTTTATTTTTGTTTTGCATTTTTGAGAATTCTCTGCATTCCAGTTTTATTTTGTAAAACCAAAATGGCATTTTGCTGACCAATGAGAATATTTAGGCTTTAATTTCAATATAATATGCTTTCTGATTTTTGGAGCAAACATAATCGGATCAAACCAATTGTCTGTATTTCCTAGTCTTAAATATAATTAGTACATAATTAATTACATATGGGAATAACAGTTTGACATAATAATAATATTGAATTGGTATTTAAGAAATCTTTCATTACCATGGTATGGAGTGAAATCTAATGGAGTATACTGATGTGGTCTCATAATAGAGCAATCAAATGTAAGTTTGAGGGTGTTGGTTCGAACCTTAATAGAGTCAATGGGTTTTGCCTACAAATAGTAAAAAAATGTAATATATAGTTCTTAATTAATTGTAGTACTGTATAATAATTATGTGCAATGTCTTTGTATTTTATACATAGCTTTCAGTTTTGTATCCGTCCTTATCAAAACGAATTTATGAAAATCTGAATGGATTTATCAGAATGAAATTAGTGATTTAGTCTAATGTGCTTGAATAAACAAAACAAAAATAATTTGATGCTTTTTAATATATTAATTGATGGATTACATAGATATGAGATACACTTCCAAATGAAATTGCGAAGTCAAAGTGCAAATTGTAATGTAAAAGTTGCCATCTTTATTACCTTTGAATATAATTTTTGATCAAGAATAATGAAATAAATGTGGCCACTGGAACATTTAAAAGTTTGTTGATGTCTTTTTGTAGCTTGTTAAGCTGGTTTTCCACTAGACAAATTATTCACTTGAATCTTCCTGAGCTCTCATTGGTTGCACATTTCTTTCGCTTCGCAAACACTCTGATAGGAATGTGAATGCGCATGCGTATGAACCAACACTTTTGATTTGTGCGAATAAATTTGTAAGTGGAAAACCGGCTTTATAGATGTGACTTAAGCCAGGCATTCTTTGCGTTGTATGACTGTCGGCCGAAGAATCCAACTCCGTTCTCAGTGAGCGCTAGATGACACAATGCCTTCTGCTGATTGTTGGTGGCAGTTTAAACTGACCGACATTTTTAAAGTCTATTATGCGAACATTGTGGCGTTGCATTCACCATACATACAATCACATCAGCTGGCGATCGTCAGCATCATCATTGGAAAGCCGTAGCACTTCATATTACCTTTATGTTCAACATCACTCCACAATGAAAATGGGTAAAATGTGAACTATAGCATTTGGGTGATGGGTGATGGGTTACCCCCTATTCAACTTATTGCAGAGGTTCATTCTCGGGGCGCATGGTCAAGCCAAATGCAGCCTCTATCAGGTTGCATTACAAATTAATTTACTCTAATAATCTTTCCCGATTGGCAGATCAATGCTCTTCAACATCTGACATACGAATTTGTATTCAATTTACACCCCATTTTTCTGTAAAAGCGTCGTTGAATCAAACCCGATTTTTAATAGTTTTAGTTTCATCCGAGTGACCTTTAACTAGCTATTTCATGTGTGGAAACGGTTCGTTGGCCCTAGGAGGATTCAAGGGTTAGGAGGTGGGGGGGGGGGGGTGGCAGTTGTTCTAATCCACGCCCTCCTGATATTGTTGCTATAATGTTTGGTAATCTGTCTACTCATAACATTGTCTGTTGTCAGCAAATTTAAAACGATCACCAAAGCGACCACATGAGTATAAAGCATTAGGATAAAACAACCACAGACACTATATGATTAGCCATACACAAGGGATCTGAAAAGAATTTGTGGTACCAAACAATGTGTTGCCAGGAATATGTTTTGGATAAATGTTAACTCGTAATGTTTTGTCTTGTTAGGGATTCGAATCCTCTTTGAATTCACTTTTTCGGAATGTCAATCAAACTTACCAACTGACCAATCAGAAAATGCTATGAATACGCGCACGTATTTGTGGGACACATGTATGTTTATGCTATCTTTTTGTGGGACCAAGCAACAATATACAAGGGTGGGGCTTAATGAAAGTTCCTTCTCACTTTTGTCCTTGGGTATAAGGTAGGCCTAAGACCTATTTTACCCAAACTTGTCTTTCTGTATACCCCCAGGACTATATAGTACGATGCTGCGGTATTTCAATGTAGTACTAGTTTTGACTAGGTACCCGGCCTACTCCTCAATAAGTAGGACACTTTGCGATGGTGTGCCAATACATGTTATCCTGGACGACCAAATAATAACGCTGTCGCGCCTTTAATCATTATTTGTTTGGAATTGGGACCATAGTGGAAGTTAATACATAAATTATTGGAGGTAGAAAGGATGTATACCTAAAAATAAACGCCCCTCGATAACCCAGCAAAAAAAAAACGCTTTAGAGAGTAACTGATCTGAATAAAGATCAAGAGAAATTTGCTGGCGCTTCATCTAGACTAAATAATGATGGTGTCATAAAGGTGAATTTTACTGTATAAAAGTGTCATTTCCGGCCTTCTAAAGGTAATATTTCCTCAAATTTTCCCACCTCGGCCCCAATCATGGTGGGGCTGAGGTGGCTCTGGACTCACGGCTTTGAAGAAGGTAAAGTAAATACATCAAAGAAAATGTTTTTAGGTTTTATGTGTATATTACACTCTGTGGTTGCCGAAAATCGCTAATACTTTTGACTATATAATGGTGATGTGATGATGAATTTGATTTTATAAAAGTGTCATTTCCGGCCATCTACAGGTACCATATTTCCTTAAATTTTTGCACGCACTCCCTACCGCTCAAGAATAAGCATTAGGATAATACCACCACAGACACTGATTTAGTCATACACAAGTGCTGTGAAAAGAATTTGCGGTACCAAACAATGGGTTCGAATCCTCTGTGAATTGACTTCCGGAATGTCAATCAAACTGACCAATCAGAAAACGCTATGAATACGCGCACGTGTTTGTGGGACACGTATATATGTTTACGCTATCTTTTTGAAGGACCAAGCAAAAATATACGAGGGGTGGGGCTTAATGAAAGTCCCTTCTCACTTTTGTCCTTGGGTATAAGGTAGGCCTAAGACCTATTTTACCCAAACTTGTCTGTCTTTATACCCCCTGGATTATATAGTACAATGCTGCGATATTTCAATGTAGTACTAGTTTTGACTAGGTATAGGCCTTACTCCTCAGTAAGTAGGACACTTTGTGATTGTGTGCCAATGCATGTTACCCTGGACGACCAAATAATAACACTGTCGCGCCTTTAATCATTATTGGTTTGGAATTGGAGCTATAGTGGAAGTTAATACATGTATTATTGGCGGTAGAAAGGATGTATACCTGAAAGTAGCGCCCCTCGATAACCCAGCAAAAAAGTGCATTAGAGATTAATTGACCTTGTACACTGATTTAGGTAAGACGAATGTATAGGAAATGATATATCATTGCCTTACTGTCCCTGATTTATTTATTTATTTATTTTTGGAGGGGTGGGAGGGGAAACAATTACTGTACTATTTCATCAACGCAGTAGGGTTACAATCGACCTTTCCCTTGATCTAAAAGGCCTTGCTTGTCCCTAAAACGTTTTGGAAAAATCATACTATTTTAAAACCAACGTAGTTGGGCTATAGTGGGTATCTTTCCTTTGATCTAAGCAGAGGATAGGGAAAATGATAATTGAGATAATTATTACTGAATAAAGTAAAACATTTAACTGCATCCATGTAGATGTGGGTCTGTAAATGCTCAAAGTGGTGTTCAATAGGATCTAATTCCCCATAGTGTCGAAACACGGTCTCCCCCGACGGCATCCCGTACCCCAAGCTTAGTTTGTTTTTGAAACTTTTAGAACTTCATGGCAAGGGAAAATTCACCGAGACAATACTATCTGGGTTTGCCTTGGCCGTCATCGCATTGTTGCGTCGTTGCGTTGCGTCCTAGTGGAAACCAATCATTGTCATAGCGCCACTGAACATTGCATTCTGTCGTGGATATTGCTCCTACATAAATCCTTGTTGATTGATTGATTGATTGATTGTTGGCATTGACATTGGATGAACTCTTGTCTCAGATCACCCATTTTTTCAACTATATTTTGATTGAAAGTCTCAATGAGGATCTGAAAAAAATACAAGTGTTTCCTGTGGAATGTACAATTCCCCCATCCATCCACACTCAAGACATGAGAGCATCATCACGCCACTCTTAATGGATTATCAAACATTTGTGCACCAGTGTTCATTGAGTTAGCATCGAGAAAGCCTCGGCATTGGGTCGATTTTGCTGATCTACTTTGTGACTTCAGGTAATTTGAAAGGAATACACTTTTTTTGTAAGAACCAGTAGAATTTTGCCCAGGCTCAGTGTTCTTAACTTTTTGCCAATATCAGGATCAAAATATTCTTATTTAGTTCTTATTTTACATAATTATACTTTGCAAACATACAAAATTTAATAGGCCTATTATTATACAGCAGTATGTTGTTGTGCTGAATAATAGAGGGTATTACAGAGTCGTGCCTACTGCAAATGAGGTACTGATACGATTTGTTGGTTTTTCTATTTAAAGAAAAATAAAATAAAAACCTCATTTGACTCGACATTTCACCTCAGTTTGTTCTTATTTTAAGCCTCAGTGTTCTTATAAAATGTGTTCTTATAACAAAAAAATGTAGCTATAAAATAGGAGGAATGAAGAAATTCTTTTATTACAATTCTTACGAGCTCTTACTAGCACTAGTTAGCTTTGGTGAAATTAATGCCTAATTTTACATCTTAAGGAAATTGTGATGTTGACTTTTGTAGGTGCAAAATACAACACACATTTAAACAAATTTTAAGCATTAGTATTTTCTGTTTCAGTTTTAAACGTTTTTGGTATTTTGGTACCTCCGTCTGGATCCCTACTTGGACCCCCTGCCGGGGAATTTCCGGCAAGGTCGTCGGGGAAAAATCAGATCTCGAGCTCCGAAAATACAATTCAAGCATGCATTAATAAGCTGCCAAATTTTAGGAATTAAAAAATGCTTAGTACAAGCAGTGTTATCGTATGCGCGAGGTGTTGTATACTATTGCGATAGTACTAGTACCCCCGACATTTTACATGGTGTTCTATCAAATTATCCTTTTTAAATAAAGAATCCCATAATTAACACATTTTTATGATTTATTTATTTTTTTTATTCCCCGACAAATATATGCCGCAGTGGACATGGTTGGTTTCTCAAGCTCGCAGACAAGATTTCAATCCTTCGCTGTGCAGTTCGTTTGTGTCCCTGAGCAAGGCACTTTATCTACATTACTTCAGTCTACCCAGCTGTATTAATGGGTACCTGCAAATCGCTGGGGTAACCTAGAAACCACTGCAGCACAGGGGAACATCATACTCTAATCCGCTACAGGCTACTGAAACTGGGGATAAGCTCTAGCTCCATAGGGAGTGGCTTTGTATGGATTTATTTTACTATCTTTTTAAATATTCAAAAATCTATCTCTTTAACCGTTTTCAAGTTTTTCGTCAAACACCCTTTATGTGTCGCAGAAAAATCAGTTGTACAACATATCCAAAAATTGCTTTAACTCGTCGTCAACAGATTGATACGAAATAATCACACTGGAAGGCAGTAAGAAATCTCTAAGAATGGGTGGAGTCTCTCTTCAGTCGATTTTCAACGTCATCGTTGGTGCTGGGCTATTTCTGATTTGTTCGTCTGGATTCTTCAAGTTCCAACAAATTGACAATAAGCTGGAAGGACTTCCGGTAGGAATCTAAATCGACTTATTTAATATTATACATTCCCAACATCCCTCTGTTGAATAGATGGGCCTTACGTCTCACAGTGTATCAGGAATTTCTCCAAAATGTCTCTAATTAGGCCTAAATACAGTAATACAATATTTTTTACTATAGAAACGAAATAATTGAGTGGTTAAGATAATAACTTAGTGGTTAAGATGTTCGCCTTCTAATCCTAGGGTCCTGGGTTAAATTCCTATGACAGCAGGACCTTTTTTCTCACGGGGTATAGAACCCTACTCATGTATCAGCCGACCTTCTAGGATACATTGGAAGTGTCACCCTTTATAAATATGGTTTAAAATGTGTCAGTCATGATGTATGTTGAGACAATTGTCAACCAATACCATGCACATAAAGAGATTACCAACTAATACGCATGCACATAAAGAAATTAACTTTTAAAAAGAGACAAGCTCCGCCGCCTCCGCCGCCCTTATAGGTGATTTTTTCCAAGGTCTCACAAGGGGCGGTCGGGAAGGTCGTACGACCCCACCCCCCCCCCAAGTAATTTCAAAGGTCCACATTTTTTCCAAAGACATTTTTTTCTAGGGCCTTTCACAATGACATAAATAATAAAGCATTGATGAGGTACTGCAGCAATAATCTATCTCAATTCCAGCAATTCTGAAACTGAGCCTGCCATCCGCGCTTCAAGCAAATTGTATTGACATTTTAATCACATCTTGCTGTTATTTCATTGTTAATAAAAAAATATGATCACGACCACCCAGAAAAAACCCCTGGACACGTGTGTATTTCTGGACCTTTTCTGATTGGTAAGTTGTTTAAGATTGATGTACACTCTTCAGAGATCAATCATAAATAAGCTCATGACATTCTGATTTCCAGGCGTTAGGTCACGGAATCAGCAAACGTGGACTACGTGGACCATCAATGACTGCCGCTACTGATATGCCTCCTGAAAGGCATAGAAGCTGCACCATTCAATGTAAGTTTGGCTTACGATAGCGATATTAATCAAATGCTACCGTTAATTATTATAGTGCTACCATTCAGCATTTAGGGGCGGATCCAGTAGTGGGGTGCCCCCCCCCCCACTCCCGTTTTGCCACTAAATTTTAAAAATTTCATTGCATATTAATACTCTATGCTACTATCTATTCTGAACCTGTTGTGCCCTCATGTTTGAAGAATTATGGATTCGCCCCTGCCACTATATGTATATGCTAAATTGTGATCAGGTTCGCTTGAAGAAATATTTTTCTGCTCGATTTAATGGACCGTTTAGCTAATCCACCCCTTGGATATTGTTGCTCAGGTCAGGCCCATATCAACATAGGGGCTTTTTTGGGCCCCAGCCCCATGGCAACGATCTCCCGAACCCCAGGAAAAATCACCGAAAATCTGGTTTTATGTTTTAGCTACAGAGTATTTAGACCCACTTTTAATTACAGCTACAGGCGCGCCCCACAGCCCTTTAATCCGGCCCTGGCTCAGGTCCAACGAAAGTTAAAACCTACGTAGTAGGAAAAATGCCCGTATTCCTGGTCTGGTTCATGATCTTCTTGTTAAGTATGACTGACACTTCGAAAGGTTCATTCTCTGTTATAATGTATAACCTTTGTTTACTTCTTACGGAATCATGAATTTGATTAGGTAAATACGAGGTACCGATACTGTTGCTTTAAGAAAAAAAAATTCTAAATTGACTTTATTTAACTTAAATATCACAGGTCCACGTGGCCCACCTGGACCAGAGGGTGCAAAGGCAATACCTGGTGTACCCGGTAAGTCGACCATATTTAACTGATATTTACCACAAATGATATATAGTTACATAAACGTTTTATATAATATTATCAGTTAAGGTTATAAGTCGGCAAACTATTAACTTAGCGACTGTGTGAGCAGCTACACTTGACGTCATATTATACATACACACTCACACAATTACATTAACAATATGAATGATGATATGGTAATTATATTACTATTGATATGATATTGGCCGTATTCGACTGGTCGCTTTTCGTTAAACCACGCCTACCTGAGCAGTGGTAAAACCCTACTTAACGAAGACGACCAGTCGAATAGAAAACTTGTAAATACTCGACAAAGTGACGGCATAGTTACCGCGATACAAGCTGCGTAATCAAGATTGCTTCGGCTTGTGGCAGTATGGATTTTTCGTAAAAGAAATGTTTTCATCCAGTTTTTGAATTCTGTTAGGCTACAATTATTTTTTTAGTTCATGTGGGTAAATATTATAATTTTTATTTTCTGAAATTTAATCTAAATTATATTAACGCAAATGTTGTTTCTAAACTGAGCAATGGGCCGTGTTTGTTTTGGTCACGTATAACTTAACGCAGGTTAACGCACTCTGGTTACGTTAATTTTCGTTGTCAACTAAGTCTGTTTAACGAACCAGTCGAATGAAAACAATACTCAACGAAAATTCGTAGTCAACGAAATTAACCAGTCGAATATGCCCATTGATAACAATGATGAGGATGATAACAGAAGACGTCGATTAAGGTGATGATGATGATAATGATGATGATGATGATGATGACGATGATACTTATGACGATAAAGATGATGTTGAAAAGAAGGAAGGAGTTATGACAATAATACAATTTGTCTACAATGACACTTCGTTGAGTATTATTTTCATTCGACTGGTTTGTAAAATTGGCCGTATTTAACTGGTCGTTCTTCGTTAAACCACGCCCACCTGCGCAGCGGTAAAATCCTACTCAACGAAGACGACCAGTAAGTACAGCGGATTAGCAAACTCGTCCTCAGTGACGAGTTCAAATCTAGTTAAAATTTGCTGTTCGTCATAATATAATATCTTTTAATTTGCCACAATTAATAACAGGAGCCACTTAAGGTCTATATGGTAAGATTGACTAATTGAAGAATGCTTGTCATCGAGGGGCTCTCCGACTAACGACAAGAAGGATTAAAAAACTGCTTAAAAATAGTAAATTATTACAGTATATACTGTATAATATGAAATTTGATATAAAGTAGTGAAATCATTTTTAAAAAATCTATAAAAATAGTTACATGAAATTCAACTGCTAAAAAGGTTAAATTAAATAAAACTACAGGAGGCCGCTTTGTATTATACAATAATATCTAGGCCCTACAGAAACGCACATCGCGTTGGACACAGAACGCGTATAGCGATGGACACAGAATGGCTTATAAAATCTCAATGTCGCAACTCTTTCTATCTATGGCCGTATTCGACGGGTCGTTCTTCGTTTAACCACGCCCATCTCCGCAGTGGTAAAACCCTACTTAACGAAGACGACCAGTCGAATAGAAAACTTGTAAAAACTCGACAAAGTGACGGCATAGTTACCGCGATACAAGCTGCGTAATCAAGATTGCTTCGGCTTGTGGCAGTATGGATTTTTCGTAAAAGAAATGTTTTTATCCAGTTTTTGAATTCTGTTAGGCTACAATTATTTTTCATGTGGGTAAATATTATAATTTTCATTTTCTGAAATTAAATCTAAATTATATTAACGCAAATGTTTCTAAACTGACCAAGCGGCCATGTATGTTTTGGTCACGTGGATAACTTAACGCTGATTAACGCACTCTGGTTTACGTTAATTTTCGTTGTCAACGAATTCTATTAACGAACCAGTCGAATGAAAATAATACTCAACGATAATTCGTACTCAACGAAATGAAGCAGTCGAATAAGCCCATTGTCTTCTTTGACAACGAAAATTAACGTAACCAGACTGCGTAATTCAGCGTTAAGTTATCCACGTGACCAAAACATACATGGCCGCTTGGTCAGCAACAACATTTGCGTTAATATAATTTAGACTAAATTTCAGAAAATAATAATTATAATATTTACCCACATGAAGTCAAAAAATAATTGTGGGCTAACAGAATTCAAAAACTGGATGAAGATATTTTTTTTACGAAAAACCCATGCCGCCACAATCCGAAGCAACCTTGATTACGCCGCAAGTATCTCTGTAACTATGTAGCCATTTTGTTTTGTCGAGTATTTACCGGTTTTCTATTTGACTGGTCGTCTTCGTTAAGTAGGATTTTACCACTGCGCAGGTGGGCGTGGTTACGAAGAACGACCAGTCGAATACGGCAAATGACAATAATATTAATAATATTGTTTGAAGGTTTGCATGGCGAAGTATAATATATAATTAATGCTTGCGGTACACCACGTAGATAGTTCTATCTAAGAACTATCTACGTGTTAATATATTAATATTAATAATATTAATAATGTATGTCAAACGCTTATGCAGGAGTCCCAGGAGTTCCCGGTGATAATGGCGAGCCTGGTTGCAAAGGTGACCCAGGACCAGCAGGCAAGATAGGTAATTAATATTACTATAAATATATAGGCCCAAATTACTATAAATCTTAATTAGGTAATAACAACATTTCATTAGGTTTTTCCTTTAGTTAAAAGGCTATTTATTTGTTTAATTTGAATTAATTTTGCGGGTATATTTTTTTTCAGGTGCACCGGGTAAGCCAGGAGCACCGGGTAAGTAAATTTCTATAAGCCATTTTGTAGTCTAAACTGCGCATGCCCATATTCCAGGTTAATCAACATAAACCAATGTCAAAGATCCTATATAGAAAGATCTGTGGTTGTGTGTTCGTGCAGTGTATGTTTGTTTTTGTCGATTGACCTTGATACGGGCATGCGCAGTTCAGATTACGAAATGACTTATCTAATTAGGTAGCTCAAAAATTCTAACCAATACCAAGCAAGCTTACGATTCGAAATGAGGGTCGCCAAAAGCTGTCGGCGATGGCGCGTAGCAATTTTTTGTAAACCCGGATTTAGTCTGTCGTAAAAATGGCTGATTAAAATCATCAATCTATTAAATGTGACAGCTGTTAAATTTTTTTTATTATTGCAGGTGAAACGGGACATCATGGCAAGACGGGTAAGAAGATTAGATCGATACCGTTTTGTGTCAGTATTTTTAAATTGTTATATACATATATTGTGAGATAAAGTTAACAAAGATAAGGTAGGCCTCTATCTGCAAGAGTAAACAATCACCATAATCATTTAAACTCGGTTTCTTGTAATTGACGACAATCCGACATTCATCCTCTGTTACTCAACAGCGTTGTTTTAGGCCTGCTTTCAATTATGTGGTGATAATGCTCTTGTTTCTTAATAGGACGGACGGGACACCCAGGAAGAGCCGGGAAAACTGGTAAGACTCTTTCTTGTTAATATCATAATACCATAATAGAGTACTACAGTGTAACGTCACGATACCCGTGATATAGCCTGGGTTCCAGGCCCTAATTTTAGGTTACTCACTCTTTATTGCACTTAGTGCGCGCCATACCTAATTTAATTGGCGTCCCATACTCGGTTTCTTTTTTTTCGAATTATTATTAATTATTATTATTATTATTATTATTATTATTCCGCCTATAAATTAACTTTCTCGTTGGTGGCGCTGTCCAGAATGAGAAAAATAATAAAAAAATAAGAGAATTGTGGCAAGTCTACCCGTGATACTACTCCGTTGCTATCGCTGCGAAATGTGTTCAACCGCACGCCGTTTTTTCCACTGACAAACCATTTATCCCAATCTCTAACGTAATTGTTAAGATATTGTATCTTAGTTTTTGTTTGTAAATTTTCATTCATGATTAAATGTGTGTTCGATAACTAATATAATGCAAGCTTTTGTGTTTTTAGTACATTTTGATGGTAAAATATTAGATTTTAAAATGCCTATTCCAGAAGGCCTATGAAGTCATTCAGCAGTGGCGTAGCTAGAGGTTTTGGCGCCCGGGGAAAAGAGTATAAAATTGCGCCCCCTTCCCCTCCCCCCTCCAATTATAATTATAATATTTTGAAATAAATTGATATTGGTTGTATAGACTTTAAGCATATCCGTACCGTACGTCCATATCATGTACTATCTAAATAACATTATTTAAACTCGAGTAACTATTATTATTCTAGCTCTTTTGTGTTCTTACCAGGGGTGGTGCCAGGATTTGCCCGAGGGGGGGTCCGAGGTCCAACGAGGAGGAAGATTTCCTTGACGAGAGCAAATTGGGCGTGATCATCAAGCGTCGCTCAAAATCTTCCAAAAGTTGTCGGGGGGGGGGGGGGGAGGGGGCGAATTTATGGATTTCAAATGCTTATTTAATCGATTTTAGAGTCTACTAATATGTATAAAATACATATAGCAAATAAGTTAATTGCGGCGAAGCAGCCAATTCATATTCTTGACAGCAATTTGACCTCTGAAAGGTCATTGTTTGTCAAAAATCAATCGCCTGAGACAACTGAAAGAATCGAAAGCGTCGTTCATGCGCATGCGCATTCACATTTCTATCAGAGTTTTCGCTTTAGCGAAATTGGTAGTTCGAACTTCTACTTTTTGCGAAGCGAAAAATGTGCGCAACCAATCAGAGCTCAGGAACCGAACCGACGCCTTCCATTCGGGCGAATACATTCGCCTTGTGGAAAACAGGCTTTAAGTCGGTTTTCCAAGGCGAATTTATTCGGGCGAATACATAGCGTCGGTTCATACTCATGAGCATTAACATTTCTATCGGGTTTTTGCAAAGCGAAAAAATGCGCAACCAATCAGAGCTCAGAAAGCGAACCGAAGCTTTTGATTCGTGCGTATAAATTCGCTTAGTGGATCAAAACCGGCTGTAAGCCGGTTTTCCACTAGTCGAATTTAATCGCGCGAATCGAAAGTGTCATTTATGCGCATGCGCATTCAATTTCTATCACAGTTTTCGCTTAAGCGAAATCGGTAGTTCGAGCTGTTTCTACTTTTTTGCAAAACGAAAAAAGTGCACAAAAACAATCAGAGTTCAGGAACCCAACCGACGCCTTCGATTCGCGCGAATAAATTCGCCTAGTGAAAAACCGGCTTTTGGGAGCTTTCGATTTGCGCGGCGACGCTAGAACGGAATCATTCATGTGTGACCGTTCTTCCAGGCATCCTACGTTCTATGTATACGTAGATTTGTCCAAATTGCTTCCTAGAATCCACGAGACGAGGAGAACTTAACGTTCTCGCATGTGCAGATGACTTTCAGTGACGTCATTACGTTTCACGTCCTGCCCTCGTCGTGCAATCGAAAACTCCCTACTATTGAAAATCCCACAAAACGACAACGCAAAAACGTCCGTAAACACGTGCATTTGTGTAGAGAACAAGTGGGACACAAGCGCGTATTCCTGGCCCTTTTTTTATTGGTCCGTACCATACGTTTTAACACATTTAGTACCGGTATTTTGTATATAACACACTTGACAAAGGCACTACAATACATTTAACACAGTTTTTATATAACAATAGCTCATGGACAGAACTTTACGTCATGTGATGCCCTAAAAAAGGCGGGTGTTGAGTTTAATGGTGTTTACACGATTGATCCCGATGGTCCAAACACTGGATTGGATCCATTCTCGGTAGTCTGTGATATGACATCAGACATAACAATAGGTAGGTATTGTTAACGTTTTGATGAACGTAGGCCTACTTTCAATGGCAAAGAAAATGTTAATCAATTGCTTTACCTTGGGTTTTTATTGACGTTCATGTTTGAAGAGTAAAGGTAAAGGTAGGAGAATAAGCCATATTTTGCAGCGTCATTGTGCTGAATTGCGTATATGGGTGGGCGTGGTCCGTGCCTACCTAGCAGCTGTGAAGAGGCGCTTCATGGTAGCTATAATGTTCACATCATTCCACAACGACAGGGGCTGAAATGACCATAACATCGGGGTAACCCCCTACTCTTCCGAAAGATGCAATGGGTTATTTAAAGTGCACACGAGCCATATACACTGGACCTCCATTGTAAGTCCATATCCGAGAAGACTTGGTTCTATCAACTGAACCATGGGCGAGAAGTGGCTGTAACCAGCGCCGATGTTAATGTTACCGCTCAGCCACTCTACTCGCAAAGTACTGACTTGTTTAGTGTCACGCTAATACAATTTCATAATTCGTTTATTTGATCGGGGTTTATTACAAATGAGGATCAGAGCCATGGGCGAGAAGTGGCTGGAACCAGCGCCGATGTTAATGTTACCGCTCAGCCACTCTACTCGCAAAGTACTGACTTGTTTAGTGTCACGCTAATACAATTTCATAATTCGTTTATTTGATCGGGGTTTATTACAAATGAGGATCAGAGGGGGCGTTTATTCGAGGGGGCGTTTACTTAAATTCAGAAGTTATGATCTGCAACACCTTTTTGAAATTAGTTTTAGGACTATTTATTAAATCAAGAGTAAATAATTAAGAAATTAAACTCTAGGAATTTTTCAAATCTGCTTTCTTAAGTTGATATATTTGAAACTTAAGTATGTCCAAATAGTATAGAATACTATTTAATTTTCTTTGGTACTGTATGTCCATGGTTAGACTTGATTCTAGTCCTCAAATATAGGATCTGTGCTAAAATGTTGTCTTTATCATTGTAAAAAAAATTTTTTTAATCGATTTTGGCAACAATGGCGTTCCATAGTATAATTTTTCGGGGTTTATATGTTATCAATAAAATGTGTGGTGTTGACTTTTGTGAAGTAATTATTATTATTATTATTGTATACTTATATAGCGCATATCAAACTTCTCTATGCTAAGGTACTTAAGATGACACATGACCCATCATGTACCTCCATCAGATTTACTGTACACTTTCAGCCATCTTTAACTGCCAGAGATAACAGTGTGTCTTTGCCCCCGAGCAAAATAACAATAAATTCGAGACTTGAGGCAAGTTCAAACAACGGCGGCGGAAGTGGGGGGGGGGGGAAAGGGGCCATTTTTCCCCTCACTTTTTCCACTGGGGGCCTGGCGCTCCCCCTCCCCCACGTTTGTGTCCAGACCCAGCACCAGTGATAAACATTTTACGAACGCTGCAATGTCATTATTATTATTATTATTATTATTATTAGAAGGGTAATTTTTATTCATCGGGAAAAAGTGAACGTTTCGTCGGGGGATACCCCTATCAAGGATACCCTTTATGATAAATAATTCTTTGAGATCGTCGAAACAATATCGAATCAGTGGCGGATTCAAAAAGGTAAGAGGGAGGGGCCTAAATTGTTTCTTAAATGGATATTTAAAGAAAATTATATTCCAATTATAAGTCTGTGAGTACACATTCCGGCTAGAGGTGCCATAATCACAAATTTTCTTACCTCAGCCCCAACCATGGTGGGGCTGACGTGGTACAGATCCTCCATAGCAAAAGTAACCCAGTGGCCAATTCAAAGGGGCCCAGCCAGTCCGGTTATGAAATGGCCACCCCCCCCCCCCCCCCACCAACTTTGAAAAACATTCCGCCGCGGATGGGCAAGTCTAGTCCATGGTATGTCATTTATACGGCTTTTTACCTTTTAAATAAAGGTTATACAACAATTGATCACGATAAGGAGGAAGATGGAAGCGTGAACAATGCCGAGGAGGTGGGCTCATTCCAAGTTAATATCACTTACGATCTCACCTCACAACAAATAACAGCTATCAAAAACGTATCATCTTCGTGTAGACAATTTATTAAGGTTTGTATTAAAGTTCATTGTTCTATATACCGATATTTGTGTGTTAATTGCTAAGAACATTATTTATTTAAATAAATAATAATAATAATATTAATTATTATTATTATTACTATTATTATTTTTATTATATTATCATTATTATTGACGTAACAGTGTTTGCAGTAAACCAGGTGCTGATACGGATAGGAAGAAGATTTATAGCCAAATGAACATTGATTCTTTGTTTTCCTATTCCACAGTATCAGTGCATTGGATCATTGTTTGACGGCGGGTATCATTTTTGGGTATCAGTTAATGGCGATCGGATGGTCAACTGGGGAGGAGTTCCGACTGGAACTACGGGGTGTGCGTGTTGGATGACGAGTAAGTTCAGCTTCACTTGTAATTGACTTTTCCGCTAACTCACGTCCCCACAAAACGACAGCGTAAACATACGTAAACATGTGCGTTTGTGAGACAGGCATGCGTATTCGTAGGACAAGCGTGTATTGCTGATTCCTGGCCTTGTTTTGATTACACACACACACACACCCACACCTGTCTCTTATACACATCTAGATGTGTATAAGAGACAGGTTTAGTGTCACGCTAATACAATTTCATAATTCGTTTATTTGATCGGGGTTTATTACAAATGAGGATCAGAGGGGGCGTTTATTCGAGGGGGCGTTTACTTAAATTCAGAAGTTATGATCTGCAACACCTTTTTGAAATTAGTTTTAGGACTATTTATTAAATCAAGAGTAAATAATTAAGAAATTAAACTCTAGGAATTTTTCAAATCTGCTTTCTTAAGTTGATATATTTGAAAC